CAGAATGGATTGAGGGTTAACCCCTCCAAGGCCAGGAAAACAAAAGTACCCACTTTTTCTCTGCCGAGATTGAGGGGAGGTACTTTGAATCTCTTCTCCGAGGAAAAATACCTCTTCGAGTGACCAAATATAAGAATATGTATAGCAGACCTTACACAATCTTCCCGATCGCTCAATCAGTGAATTTCAATAGTCTCGGTCTTGCAATATAAATAAAGCCATACGACGAAAAAGTCGCGTCTCTCGATTTTTGTATAGCATTCCTTAACCTGTCGACTTTTCTCTCATTTATACATAAGTATGTAGTATCGGTACTAGCATTGTACACTATATACTAGCTATATACATTTGTGTATTGATACATATATACATGTTTACGTATGGACATATCGTGTAAGTATGTATATTTATTTATTTTGCGATGTTGTCATTGCCGACAATATTAGCGTTTTACTGATGCAATTTTATTTATTTTTGTTCTTGTGGCTGGCGTTGTTGTAAATTCTTATTAAACTGCGTCAATCGTGGGGTTTTTATCGAATTGTTTGTATTTTTGCTTTTGTTTTCATACTTATAGCCAGTCATTCCTCGTTCCCCATAAGTTACTCGCCAGTCATCACCTTCAAAGTGTTCTCGCTTTCATCCACTCATCGCTGTTCTTCTCGACAGAATTCAGCTTTATACAACTCATCGAAGAACTTTTACGTTGATTATTTGTTCGTTCATTGCCGCTTATTAACTTTCCGAGTAATTCGCCTCATCGGTTGATTACGTCAACTCTTCCAACGCCTGGCTGCATTCGATTGAATGGAAAAGTAATATCCAGAGGATTTTTAGAGCGCATATGGGTTTTCTGGAAATAAAAACAGTTGAATTTAAATATTTGATTAACTATTCGTAATAATTTTAAATATAATATGTATGTATATGTACGTATTATACTTGACTACTGCAAGTTAAAGTAAATAAAATTTTATGGCCAACGTTCTGTAAATTAGAGAGGGTATGTGGTGAATCTCGATTGGTAAGTACTTTTCGAAATTCACCACATACCTTCTAGTTTACAGAACACATTACTTTAACCTGGGCATGCCATTGGAGGTAAGCGAGAAATTTTAAAAATGTATTGCCTGTAATTCAGTGGGTATGCAGCTCTCAAGAAAACGGTAAAAAAAAATTTCCATTATTTCGTGTGTGTGTCCAAGAAATTTTGAAATCTGATACTTCACAGCCTGTGACACCTGTTGCCTCACTCTTTCCTTAAGAAATAATGGAACGAGTATATGTTTCTGTTACAAGCATGGGATGCCTTGTGCTCTTTTTTCACACAAAAAAGCTTTCAAAAACCGTAATAGAAAGCGTAGCAAATTTCTTAAGAGCTGCGTACTGCCTTAAGGCAGGTATGCAGCTTTCGAGAAAACGGTCAAGAAAAAAATTGCCATTATTTCGTGTGTGTGTCCAAGCAATTGTGACAACTGATACTTCACCAGCCTGTTGGCTCGCTCTTTCCCCAAGAAATAATGGAACGGACATATATTTCTGTTGCAAGCATGGGTTGCCTTTTTTCACAAAAAACTTTAGAAAACCGTAGCAAATTTCTTAAGAACTGCGTACTGTCTCAAGAAAATTTTACACAAGAAAATTTCTTAGGCATTTCCTGTGTGTAATTTTGTATGGAATTTTTGCTTTTCTTGTGAACTGCATACAGGTCTTTAAGGAAATTTGACTCAAGAAAATTTCTTAGCCATTTCTTGTACGTCATTTTATATGGAGTTTTTGCTTTTCTTGAGAGCTGCATACTGGCCTTAAACAAGCGCTTACCAAAAACAGAAAAGTTTTTGCTGGGATACGAGGTTTATTAGATATTTGATAGTGTGGCGAATACTGCGGCAACACAAAGCGAACAACGAGAAATAGG